TGCGATCAGGAAGCTCTGATGGTGGAGTGTGGTTTTGCAGTAGTTAAGCAGTCACAAAGGGGGAAAGGCGAAGGCGGCTATAATGGTGGAAGAGGGAAGAGCAACCGGTTTTTCCGATGAGCTCCTTCTCGGCTGATAGCTCACTCGTCGGAGATGTGGCTTCAAATCACCAACAGTAGGCGAAGAGAGGAGGTGCTAGAGGTGACAGAGAACCAAGTGAGGATGGCTGGGGAGTTGTATGTAACGCCCGTAGATCCGGGCTAGTCAATTTAGAGACGATAAGCATCAAAAATGACTTTTGATGGAAGATTATTTAGAAGGATTAATCTTAACCAAGTTGTAGTATATGTCTCAAGGTTTCCGAAAATATAAAGAACGCCGAAATCCGAGTTATAACTAAGAAGTTATGACATATCGAAGTTTCGCGACAAAACCGGTATGACACAGCGCGACATAAATAGTGAATTTACGTTAGAGCGATATTTGGCCTTAGCGATCTAAACGAAAGTCGTAGAATATGTTAAACCGAGAGCGTGCGTGAAAAGAACGCCCAAATCTGACTTCGTATGAGGAAGTTATGATTTTTCGAAGTTTCGGCTTAGCAGTGTACAACCCGAAGTTCGAATATGAGATCGAGCGAGATTTAGCCGAAACAATCTAAACGAGAATTAAATATCTCGTTGATATTAGTCCAACGGTAAAAAGACAGACGAAAACGGACGTCAGACGAAGAAGTTATGGATTTCTAACGGAGTTTTCCTGTCCCGGCCTACTAAAAATAATATAATAAAATATATTAAAAATAAAGTCAAAATTAGCCGACGAAGTCTAAACGAGAGTTGTAGAGCATAATCTCACCTACGCGTGGATATAAAGAACGTCGAAAACGGAGCTCGTATGCGAAAGTTATGAATTTCTGAAGTTCGGGGCGTGAACCCCAAGGCTGTGTCAGAGCTCACGAGGTGAGCATATGTGGCTCACGAGGTGAGTCAGTTCACGAGGTGAGCATTAGTGACTCACGAGGTGAACAGATGATGGACGTCTTCCAGGGCACGTGGCCGTGACGAACGCAATGACGTATCGAGCTCACGAGGTGAGCCAGTTCACGAGGTGAATATTAGAAACTCACGAGGTGAACTCAGAAAATTCACCCTATAAATAGAAATCGAGGGTCAGTCGATTTTGGTTGCTCTATCTCTTCTCTCCCACTCCCGATACCCTCTCTAAGCCCTATTTTAACCCCCCGAAGCCCCGTTATCATCCCGAGACCCGAAGCAAGTCCCGGAGCCCGAAGATCCCGAGAAGAAAAGAGTTTCCGAGCCGAAGCTCTGCCCGCGAGAAGCCCGGTGTGTGAAGATCTTCTAGTTTCACCGAAGAAATACTACTCTTAGAGCCGTAGTGCTGCCCGATCATCTTCTGATCAAGTGAGTGTGTGGTTATTTTCTTCTAACACATAAATATTAAGTATTTGCTATGAAATACGTGATATGTGTTTATATATATTGTTGTTTATATGTGTGAGTGTATAGTCCCTTTCAAAATACGATTTTAATACAAGTATTGTTTGGAGGTATTAAGTATATGTTTTGTGTGAGTGTGTAGTTACTTTCTTCTACCGCATAGATATGAAGTATTTGCTATGAAATACGTGCTATGTGTTTATACGTTGTTTGTTTACTTGAGATGGTTGTTGGAATGAATGTTTTATACAGGTTTTTAAATGAACTAAACCATATATGTAATTTATATCTACGAATATGTCGGGTAAAACATGGGTAGATAAGTGATGTGGTATGAAAGATGTTATAGATAATCTTAGCATATGCGCTAAATAGTAAATGTCATAATACTAGCAGATGCGCTTATAGGATAATCCTGGCAGATGCGCTTAAAGGATAATGTTGGCAGATGCGCCTAATAGTGTATGTCGTAATGTTGGCAGATGCGCCTAATAGTGTATGCCGTAATCCAGGCAGTGGTGCCTAATAGTGAATGTCGTAATCCTGGCAGAGGCGCTTAAAGGATAAAGTTGGTAGATGCGCCTTATGTAACAATGGATTTTGTGCCAATTCCTTAGGTCAATCCTTAGGAATGAATGAATGAAGGATAGTTGATTCTTAGGGTAAAACCTTAAGAAATAAAGAAGATAATGGGGATGGGTAATTGGGTTGATTGTTTGATGATTAAATATAATAATTATATTATTGTGGGTTGAAAACCCTATATGCTCACCAGGCTCCTAAGCCTGACCCACTCAGTTTCTTTGTATTACAGGTAGTGGCGCAAGGGCATAAGTTGGTTGACACGACGAGAGATAATGGATTATAGGCCAGTAGTTATAAATAATTGTTGTAAGGTCTATTTTGATCCGTTTATGCTTTTGGTCTGTATTGAACATGACATCCCGAGATTTTGTTATATAATGAAAATACATTTCTTTAAAGAAATGCTTTGATAAATTCTTATCATATTTTGTTTTGGGAACAAATTCCGCATCTGTTTTCTATAAAAGATTACTCTGATTTTAAAAACAAAGCATAAACAAATCGGTCTTTTCTGGCCGTGAAATTGGGGATGTCACATTGTAACAGCTCGCTAGTTTACCGGTTCTTCTTCCTCTCACTTCATCGAAGCCAAAATCGAGGACCACTACAAACGAGGGGATGTTTTGAATCGTTGATTGACTGGGAAGAATGAGGGAGGAAGGAGAGAAACTGAAACATGGACGACAACCTTGGTTCGCCGGATTCTTTCCTCGCCGGAGATGTACAACGAGAGAGAGAGAGAGAGAGAGAGAGGGCCCCTCTTAATTTATTAATTATTAAAATAAATATATTAATATTAGATTTAAAAAGAAATGAAAGAAAAATGTAAAATAAATAACCAAAGGGTATTACCGTCATTTCACTTTTCAGAGGGATAAAAAACGCAACGAAACTAGCTCAAAAGGACCACGAATCCAAAAAAATCGGAGTTTAAAACTAAAACCCCAAAAAAATATATAGCATATGGACTATTTTTTCAATTTTGTCTAAAAATAATACTATAATTATTAAAATTCAGTTCCGTTAGTTTTCTGTTTAGAACCTTGGCCGGTAAGATGATGGAAAATTTGCATATAAAATTCAAATCAAACGTCTACTCTCTCATCTTCAAAACAATTCAAGAACTCTGATTCATTCATGCAACTGAGTTCTCTCATCAACGCTACTAATGACGAGCAACCCAAAATTCCAAACCCTAAAGCCATCGCAGTTCCTCACATTCACAGTCGCAAACACCCTTAACCACCGCTGCCATCTCCACACTCCACGAATCCGCGTCGCCGTACTAGATTCTCCGATAGCCGCTGCTGTTGATAGGCTCCCAAAAATCGCCGCCATGATTGTACCGGAACATCGGGAGACAGATTGGAAGTTCTGTACTGAATCCGGACAACTTCAGATCCTATTCAACTTCCAAGACCTCTCCCGCCTCATCCTTATCGGTAATGATCTCGCGCTTAATCCACAGCCCTGCATTTATGTTCGCCCTCCGGCTATTGATACCGTTGATAGAAAGAAACTCCAAAAAGAATTGCGATCACTAGTAACGGCTTTGCATCCGAAAGTGTGTTTCCAAAACGGTTCGCCAGAAACAGTATTCTTGAATTATGAAGATGATTTGGTGTGTCGTGTGAATATAGATAAATTTTTCGGCGCCTTTGTTGGTGAATTTGTTGTGGAAGATGTTCAATTGGGAAGTAATAGTGAAAACAAGAAAGAACTCCGGAGGAGATTGAGGTTTAAAAGAATGCCTAATTTGATTCAATCGCAGGTCTCTCTTGTTCCCATTCTTGATGATGGCGATAGTAATGCAGAGTTAGACTTGGAAAGTTTGAGGAAAATGAAGAACGTAAAGTTTGAAGTTGATACAAGGGTTTTGGTTCACCCATACTTGATTCCTATGGTTTCTGGTATTTTCTTGATTGCTTCACATCTGAATGAGCGAATTCAACAGGGGATTACTCCAAGAGCTTTGTGTTTAGGGGTTGGTGGTGGTGCTTTGTTAACTTTCTTGAACACTCAACTAGGGTTTGAAGTTGTTGGAGTGGAGGTTGATGATGCTGTGTTGATTGCTGCAAAGCAGTATTTCGGGTTGAACAATGACAATTCTATTCAACTAATTGCTGGAGATGCAATAGATGTGATTCAAAACTTTGCAACAAAAGAAGAGGAAACAGATGATTCAGATTCAGAGGTTAAAATTGATGGGTTGAATGCTAAATTTGACGTAGTTATGGTTGATTTGGATTCAAGCGAGTTTCAAAATGGCAGTTGTGCTCCACCTCAAGAATTTGTTAAGAAATCTGTTTTTGATGCTGCGAGATTGCTTCTTAATGATCATGGTGTTTTTATCATGAATGTGGTTCCTCTGGATGAAGAGTTCTATGAGACATTGATAGCAGAACTCAAGGATGCTTTTCACAAGGTATATGAAACAGACGTTGATAAAGAAGATAATTTTGTTCTTATGGCCACTGTATCACCACCAACTTTCTCAAATGGTGATGATAATGCTTTTTTGGAGAAATTGAAATCTGTGATTCCGGGAGGTTACATGGACATGGAGTCCCTACATAAATTGTGAAGTATCAGTTTCACAATTCCCAGAACAGGTTTTATTGGATTTGTTACTAGTTGTAGAAATCATACTTTGATTCTTCATTAGAATTGCAAAATGGATGAAGTATAGTTCTTGTAGATTTTGGAACCAGAGAAAGTCATTAGATGTAAGATACATTACATTGTTATCAAGAACAAGATTCCTATAAAAGTTTACCCAATTCTGTCAAAGTTTTTCATGTGTTTAATATGGGAAAAATGCAATAGTTCTACAAAATTAGGGATGCCATTGTTAAAAATTAAACCAAAAGGACATCAATTGAAATTATGCTACATTACAGTTAATAAAAAACCTAATTAGCTGATTTTATGGTTAATCCCCATTTCACTCTAAACATGCTAGGGCTCAAATCCCATCAGATTTCATCGATTCCATTCATGAATCCAAATCGAAAACTAGAAACAGTCCGTCGATCTGTCTTCCAATTTCTACCTAACGATTTCTCATATTTGCAACTCAAATCAAGGAGAAAAAACAGTAGAGGATTTAAGGTATCATCTTCTGAAGATTCGAATGGTAATGGCGATGGTAAAGAAGATTTGAGAAAAGAGGGAGGAGGAGGAGATGAAGTTCCGAGAGTTAATTTGAGGTGGAGCGAGTTGCTTTTGGATCCGGATCCGGATAATGTTGTAGCGGTGGGTTTAACTGGGGCGTTGGCATGGGCTGGTGTACAAGTGTTGCGGCAGCTGTTTGTTGCAACAATGGCGACTTTGATGGCTGGTGTAAAGTACACTTTCATGGGTGTTTTTCTCATCTTCATTGTTGTTGCTCTCCTTTGACTTTGAGTCATTAACAATCATTTGTTTTTTTTTTTTTTTTTACAAATACAATTGCTTTGCTCCTGTAAATATTAGAATCAGAAGCAGTTTGTCAAATCTGTAATAAATTGATTATGTGATATTAAGTCATAATAAACATGTCCAAACACTCTCCTAGCATGCATATATTTACGTTTTTATTTTTTTTATAAGAAGAATTGTTATTGGAGTATTTGCAACCATCAGTATCTTTTCATTAGCAACCATTTACTATGAAGTTTTTAAATTTTAAATGTTGGCCACATGTATTGCTTCTCTTAAGCCAAAAAAAAAAAAGAAGGAAAATTGAACTTTCCCTTTTGTGCTAAAGTTCCTGTGAAAGGTTTATCAATGGGGATTGATTTTTCGAAGGCAATTTTTGTTTCATCCACTTAAATTTATATATATTGTCAATTTTGATTCTTCTTAGCTGTAAGCTCCCCATAAGCCCAATAACTTATATTCAACATAAGGATTTTACATTAGAACACTAATCCCCAAGAGTTAAAAAAAAATTAAGGTTTCTATGATTTTACAATCCCCAATTTTTGTCAATTACATGGCTTTACAAGGCTACCATAACACTAGGCGTCTAAAACAATTCCCAAACATCAAGTCAATTTACACTATTTTATAGAGACTCCTTTAAAGTCGTGCACTTGGTCAGGAAATCACCTATTTTGGTGTACAATTTTGCACCATAGACTTTACATCATGTACATGTAAAGTTGTGCAAAATAGGCATAATCTCTAGTTCGTCCATGTTCATGAGTTTGACCAATTTTGAAGCACAATGGATAACTTCTAAAATATATTGACAACGCTTAAGACATGCTAATCAATGCAACAATCACCATAATCATCCCATTAATCACCTTAAACTATAAATATCATGAATCCAACACATGGCCACAAAAGCACAATGGTTATTCACTTGATTTGGAATGAAATAGGTACCTTAACAACACCACACTGATCGTCCACTTAATCGAGAACACCAAATTCCTTTTGCTTTGCACCCTTGAAATCACCAATAATTAAAGTGATTTCTTCCTTGTTTCCGCTTGAGCAATTTTTAGCTAAAGAATCCCCTAAATGAGTTAAAATAAGTTAATGTGACCAGGGATGTTGTTAATATATATTAACTTTTTCTTCATGAAAATGATTGTGATTGTGTTTGATAAATTTCTTTATAAAAGTATGCAAGTAGAAAAACTACACTTATAAAAATTAGATATTGTTTTTTAGACAAAAATAAACTTACATGTAAGTATTTCTTGTAAGGCTAAAATCTCAACCTAAAGATTTGAAGATTTAATACGTGTTATTATACCATTAGGTGAAAGGTTACATGTATTTTCCATGTTTGACAAAAAAATTAAAACAACATTGACGAAATCACTTTAACAAACATAAATTTGTTTATTATATTGTATTTTCTTTATTTAGCTTAGAAAATCATCTCCTAAAAGAAGTTGTGAGTTACACATTGAATATAATAGTTTTATCACCTTAAAATTCAATATACAATTAGCTATATGGCTTAAGATTATACTTTACTTTTCATTGTAAATTCAAAACATGACATGGTTATAGCGACAATTCCTTTTTAACTTCATAATTTGACTTGATTTTAGGACGACAAAGTTCAAAAAGATCATCCATATATACATATCCATAGACATAATTGGCACATTTGCTTTTTCCAACAAACACTTGTAAGAATTGAAGTGACTCGATCTCTAGTTCCCATCAACTCTGACTGCACTTCAATCTAACTTCCAATTGACCAATTCTAATGAAAAATCAAAGTATGATTTCTAAAACTAGTAACAAATTGATCAATAAGCCTATTCTGGGAAATGAAATCTATAGGAATATGATATTTGGGATGTTAATGTCATGTACACCACCTTGTAAGGGATGTAAAGTAACAAATGGATAAGTCCCTGGAATCGTAGATTTCAACCTCTCTAAGAATATATCATCATCATCATCATCATCACCTGAGGAAGATGGTGACAAGATAGCAATAACAATAAAATTATCTTCATTCCCAGTATCTATTTTATAAACGTTGTGAAAAATTTCCCCAAGTTCTTTAACCAATGTCGTAAAGAACAGTTCATTCAAAGGAACCACATTGATAATGAGAGCACCATGATCATCAAGAAGTGATCTCAAATCTTCAAAAATAGATTTCTTAACAAATTCCGGTGGTGGAGCACAAAACCCATTTTTAGCATCACTTGAATCCAAATCAACCATAATCACATCAAATTTATCATCCATTTTTCCTCCTGGGTTTAGGGGCAGAAAGTTTTGAATCGCTTCCATGGCATCTGCAACAATTACTCGAATTGCAAGTGATTTGTTGAACCCGAAATGCTCTGTTGCAGCTATCAAAACAGACACATCGGACTCCACTCCTGTAACATGAAGCCCCATTTGAGTATTCAAGAAACTTAACAAAACTCCACCACCAATCCCTAAACACAAAGCCCTTGGAAAGAATCCTTGTTCATATCGCTTTTTGAGATGTGAAACAATCAAGAAAAGACCTGCAACCATGTGAATCACGTATTGCTGAACCAAAACCCTTATATCAACTTCAAACTTCGCGCCTTCTATTTTCATCAAACTTTCCAAATCTGTCTGTGTAGTAGCTTCGTTATAGCCAATAACAGGAACAAGAAGGGCCTGCGATTGGATCAAAGTTGGCATTCTTTTAAACCTTAATCTCCTCCGGAGTTCTTTATTGCGATCACTACCACCGACCAATTCAACATCTTCAACAAGAAATTCACCAACAATGTGGCCTTTAACTTTAGCAACAGTCACACGATACGCCACATCGTCTTTATACATCAAGAATAGGGTTTCTGGCAAACCTCGGTTAAAACTCACTTTGGGATGCAAAGACATTAGTAGCGGTTTCAATTCGTTTACTAGTCTCTGTTCCTCCAATGTATCAGTAACCGTAGGACGTTTATAAATGGCAAGTCCGGGATTACACGGGGGATTGTTTCCGATAAGGATGAGGCGGGAGATGTTACGGGATCGGAGTAGGAGCTGAATATGGCCAGATTTCGTACAGAAGTTCCAGTCTGTTTCCCGGTTTTTGGGTACAATCATGGCTACGGTTAATGGGGAGTCGTCGTCGGCATTGGCTGTTGGAGAGTCGAGTACGGCGAGGCGGAGCACTAGAGCGGGGAGCAACTGGCGGTGGTTAAGGGGGTTTAGCATTGTGAATGTGATGAACTGCGATGGGGTTATGGCTTCGAATTTCCATGGTTCGATCACAGTAACAGGTTGAAATGGCGTTGTCATCGTCGATGAGATGATCGGAGGTTAATTGCATGAATCGGAGTTGTTGAAAATTGCTTTAGAGTTTAGTGAGAGTATACGTTTGATTTGAAATTATATAGCCAAATTTTCCATTATCCTTCAGGCTAACGGTTCCAAACATAAAACCAACAGAATTCAAGTTCTATAACCTTAGTTTTTCTATTTAAATATTAACTATATAATTTAATATAAATTATTGGTAATGATTGTTTTCCTCTGAGTTGTTTTCTCTTTATTAATTATCAGAAATCATAAATTGATTATAGTTACCAAAATTATATTTAATCGAACATCCACAAAATCGAATCCTCAACAACTCCACGAGTTAACACACACACACCCACACTCACACTCACACACACAAAATAAATTGGTTGATAAAATGATACAATTAGATTCCATCAAATTCCTTAAAATTCCATAAAACGGATTTTATCATTTTTAGGGGAAGGGCCAAGGAATTCAAATTCTCCTATTAAAAAGACCAATTTCTCCTTCTGAATTTATTAAAAAATAAAACAATTCTCCTTCATAAAAAAAAATCTATTTCATTTCATATTCGTTTATGATATTCTTCATTCCTTGGCACTGTTTCTTCACCTTGGCTTAACGGTGGAAGGATTCGAGCTGAGTTCTTCAGGTCCATATGACATTTAGTCATATACCTTGTTTTTTGATTGATTTTTTTAATTTGATTAATATTTTAAATTTTAATACTATTAAGTTTTTTTTCTTTTATTTTGTTTTAATAAAAATCATACTAGATGTTCTAGTAAAATTACATGATGTTTACATGTGTATTTTGTATCACAGTTCTAAAAACTTTAAACAATAACATAATCATTTTACATTAGCTTCTTCATAATGCATTGTTTGTAGATGACATGTATGATTGCCCGGAAGAAATAGATATCATAATTTGAATCAAGTATTTTCAAGTAATTGAATCAAGTTAAAAGTTTTTAGGTTATAATTTTCGTTCCGTACACAAGTTAAGTGTAAAATCACCTAATATATGACACTATGAAAGAATATGCAGAGTCCAAATAGAAATATACAGTGGAAATCAAAATAGAAATATACATAAACAAAAATAAAAAATTTCTGGAACTCTAAAATCGAAAGAGAACTATCAGTTAACACTTAGAAACTCACTTTCTTTCTTTCTTTTTATTTATTTATTTATTATAAGTAAATATATCTTAGTTATCATCGTACAACGAATGAGAAGGCAAACGGGCGACAAGTTGCACCGCTAAACCTTTTTATTTTTTTATAATAATTATGTAAGGAAGTAAACGGGTGATGAATTGAAATGGTAACTTGAACAAAACTCTTTACTGTAATTATAAACAACTCCATTTTCTGCAACCAAATTCTCTCTATTTTAATCACCTCCATGATTTTAACTCTTACAAACTCTATAACTATATCGTAATTGAATTTTAACCATTATACACTAGTGATATTCTTGATAACCACCATTGCTATCACTAAACGCACCATCTCTTATAAGAAAAAAGAATTTTATCATAGAAGCTTAGGAATTTTCTCTACTTCTTTTTTTTTTTTTTTTTTTTTTCTTTTGTCATTGTTGTTGTGTTGTTTTCGAGTAAAAAAATATTCAAAATAAA